AACTAATACCATACAGAGCAAGTGTCGTAGTTTTTAACAGCTTGTTTCACTTAATAACTCTATAAGAATAAATGGAATAGTGTATGTCACTTTGTGGTGTATTATCTTGCCTTAAGTAATACCATACAGAGCAAGTGTCGTAGTTTTTAACAGCTTGTTTCACTTAATAACTCTATAAGAATAAACGGAATAGTGTATGTCACTTTGTGGTGTATTATCTTGCCTTAAGTAATACCATACAGAGCAAGTGTCGTAGTTTTTAACAGCTTGTTTCACTTAATAACTCTATAAGAATAAACGGAATAGTGTATGTCACTTTGTGGTGTATTATCTTGCCTTAAGTAATACCATTATAAGAAGCAACTTAAAATAGTGTTTCAATGTTAGGTGTGTCAACTTGTCTTAAAAACATACGAAGTTGTGAGAAACAATATTTACGTTTCATAGTTATATACCTTATTTAATTTTTAAAACAAGTTTGTATACGAAGCAATTTAAAATAGAGTGTAAGTTTCATTGTTAGATATATCAACTTTTCTTAAACAGAAAATGTTATAAGAAAAAGTTTATAATAACATGTAACTGTTATACGGTTTTGCTTTGAAGTTAAGCACAAAGCTGCACAGTGGGCTATCTGTGCTCTGCCCACCACTAGTATCGAAACCCGATTTCTAGCGTTGTAAGTCCGCAGACATACCGCTGTGCCACTGGGGTGCCTGTTATACGGATTATATTTTAAATAAACACAGAAATATTACAATTAATATCGTAACACAAATAAAAGGAAATTCATCTGTAAATGCAATTCTTAGCTTTATCTTGTTATATTAATAACGTTACACAAACGAGTAGAAACTAGCTTGTTTACAAATTCAGCTAGCTGTTTCTAAACACTATAACAAATTGTAATGAAATACTTGAAACATACTTCAACTTACTTTTGTAACAAAAAACCATGCGTGGCCTCTTCCAGTCATGCCCTTAGATACGGCCTGAAAGTAATATTAGAGAATCACTTATAGAGCATACACAGACTTCTAGAGAGGACTCTGTAGCCATAGTTATGTGTGTTATTTCTAAAAGCCTGAGTAAGTAGTTTCGATACTTATAATAAGTATTGTATTTTCTCTGACAGAAGCTCGTTCTTCTGAATGTGTATTTGAATATGGAAACTGGTGAATGTCTATGATTTAGAAGCGCGATAGGTAGTCATAATAAAACACTTTTGCGCCAATCGGAAGATACTGCATTATTAAATATATTATTATAATTAACATAAAACATCTTTACACCAGTCGGAAGATGCTGAATGTAGCATCTTCCGAGTGGTGTAAAAGTATTTTATGTTAATTATAATAATATATTTAATAATGCAGCATCTTCCGATTGGTGTAAAAGTATTTTATGTTAATTATAATAATATATTTAATAATGCAGCATCTTCCGAGTGGTGTAAAAGTATTTTATGTTAATTATAATAATATATTTAATAATGTAGCATCTTCCGAGTGGTGTAAAAGTATTTTATGTTAATTATAATAATATATTTAATAATGATTAAATATATTATTATAATTAACATAAAATACTTTTACATCACTCGGAAGATGCTGCATTATTAAATATATTATTATAATTAACATAAAATACTTTTACACCACTCGGAAGATGCTACATTATTAAATATATTATTATAATTAACATAAAATACTTTTACACCACTCGGAAGATGCTACATTATTAAATATATTATTATAATTAACATAAAACACATGTACACCAGTCGGAAGATGCTGCATTATTAAAGATATTATTATAATTAACATAAAACACATGTACACCAGTCGGAAGATGCTGCATTATTAAAGATATTATTATAATTAACATAAAACACATGTACACCAATCGGAAGATGCTGCATTATTAAATATATTATTATAATTAACATAAAACATCTTTACACCACTCGGAAGATGCTGCATTATTAAATATATTTTTATAATTAACATAAAACACATGTACACCAGTCGGAAGATGCTGCATTATTAAATATATTATTATAATTAACATAAAACATCTTTACACCACTCGGAAGATGCTGCATTATTACAATCAACAATAGATAGTACAATCAACAGCATATTAATACTAGAGGGAAGACAGCTAGTCATTACCACACACCGCCAACACTTGGGCTACTCTTTTACCAACGAATAGTGGGATTGACCGTCACATTATAACGCCCCCACGGCTGAAAGGGCGAGCATGTTTGGTGTGCCAGGGATTCGAACCCGCGACCCTCAGATTGCGACTCGAGTGCCTTAACCACCTGGCCATGCTGTTGTAATTATAACTGTATTTTATATAAAAAGTGAATACAAAGGGTCTTTATGACCTTATGATGTAATGTACTATGACATGCTGTTGTATTTATAACTGTATTTTGTATAACAAGTGAATATCTGGGGTCATTATCACCATATGATGTATTGTACAATGACATGCTGTTCTAATTATAACTGTATTTTATATAAGAAGTGAATACACGGGGTCTTTATGATCTTATGATTTATTGAAGAATGACATGCATTTGTAATTATAACAGTATTTTATATAACAAGTAAATACACGGTGTCTTTATGACCTTATGATGTATTGTATAATACCATGCTGTTGTAATATATCGGTATTTTATATAAAAAGTAGATACACGGGGTCTTTTTGATCTTATAATGTATTGTACAATGACATGCTGTTGAAATTAATATTGTATTTTATATGAGAAGTGAATACACGGGGTCTTTATGATCTTATGATTTATTGAAGAATGACATGCATTTGTAATTATAACAGTATTTTATATAACAAGTAAATACACGGTGTCTT